GTCAAATTCAGTAGGTCTGAGGTGAGCTTGGGAAATCGTGGTCATTTACAAAGCTCTCCAGATAATTCTGTTGAAACGTGAGGTTTTAGGGGAACATTTAATAGAGTTTAACCCACAGTCAGTGGGCCAATTCTTCCTCCTTAACAGTGCCGTCAGGTGATGCCTCAAGACAGACCATGCTTGAAACCTCCAGGGTAATATGGAACTCACCTCCTCTAGAGACAGGCCAGTCCATCTTTGGACAACTCTGTACACAAAGTTTCATAGTGAGCCAGAAACTGTCTGTCAGCGGTCTCCACTCATTGTTCCTTTGAGCTCTTCAGAACAAGTCTACTCCTTCTCTATTCAACAGCACAGCCCATAGTTTATGAAAACAACTACTCTGCCCCCAGCAGCTTCACTCACTCCTAGTAAGAGATTACAAAACCTGTGCCTCTCCTGGTCGCCCTCCCTGTTAGTTGTTCACGTTTGTCTGAGATAAACTGCAGTGCTCCTGGAATGGCCTAACCTGGTGGAACTGGAGTATTCCTGAGGTGCTGGCAATATAGAAGCAACACTTATCCTAGTAGACTGACTGCTGCCTTCTTAGATCAGGAAAAACAGACCCGAGTGAAGGTTGGAAATGTATTCAAAACAACAGACCCTGCACCTCAGAGTTGTTTCCTGTATGTGTCCCTGTTAGGGACTGAATCCTGAATAGTACTATAAGGCAGTATTGAGTAAATTTTCGTATTGTGCCTCTACTTATCAGTTATTCCCAAGGAAGGACTGGCTCAGCAAATGGTGCAAAGTTCAGGGTCTCTGCATTGTGAATTGTGTATCTTAAAATAATTGGATTTCTTTTTAAAGATCATTAAGCACTGATTTGGGCATGGGGAGGTAGGAGGTGAGGGAGAAGAGATAGTGCTTGCTAAGTTATAACTCCTTAGGATCTGGGATGAGAATCTGTAATCTTCCCTTCTTCTCTCTCTCTTCTCCTGGCAGCCTTCTCATCTATTGAACGTTTTCATTATCTTCAGACTAAAGTTAACTGCTCATATATTACAAAGATACCATGAGGATAGTTAAGAATTTGGAAGCTTTGAATGTTGTGGATTGAATTGTGTCCCTCAAAAATATGTATTGAAGTCCTGGCTCCCATACCTGTGCATATGACCCTATTTGGAAATCAGGTTTTTCTTTTGTGGTTAACAATACCATGCCAGAGTGGGGTGGGTCCTAAACCTGATCACTTCTGAGTTATAAAAAGAGCAAAATAGGCAGAGAGACACAGGGGGAAGCACTATATGAAGACAGACACATGTGGAAGATGCACCTATAAGCCCAGGAAAGCCAAGGATTGCCAGCAGCAACTAGAAGCTGAAACAGACAAAGAAGGACCTCCCCCTAGAGCCACACCCAGAATTCGGACTTCTGGCCTTCTAAACTGTAAGTAAATTTCTGTTCTTTAAAGCCACCCATTTGTGGTAGTTTTTGTTACAGCAGCACTGGTTACCTAAGACAGATTTTGGTACCAGAGAGTGGGGGTGCCACTCTTACAAATATCTAAAATGTGCAAGTGGTTTTGGGACTGGGTAATGAGTAAGAGTCTGGAGGAATTTTGATGCACACCCATTCCTCACGTACTGGTATGGTTAGGTTCCAAAGACCAGGTCGTTATGTGAAAACTGATGTTAGGCGAAAATAGAGGATTACTGTGTCATTATACACCTGCCAGATTATGTAACTGCCAAACCACTGAGAATCGCGGCCTAGCCAAGTTGACACAGAACCATCACAGCCAGTGTTACTCTCACCTTGCACTCCAGCCAGGTAAAGTTGCAAGTGCCGTCCAAGAGGCTTATTCTGATGACAACCACTGCAATTTGAAAAGGCTGTCGGGAGCCCTTGTCCCCTCCACTGGTGTATTCCCAAGGACCCCACCTTCCTTTTATTCCCTTGCCCACCATCTCCTGCCCTAACCACCCCCTCCCCACCAATTTCATGGGGTGTCCTCTGGGCTGGGGTGGGTGGGCATGCACACTGGCACCAACCCTTTCGCCTGCGATTCTGCCACAGAGACTGAGTGAGAGATTTGTACTGGGGTGGGACTGTACACACTCCTGTAAGTACCCTGAGCCCAGGGAGGACATTGGAAAATCATGGAGATCCCTAGCCGCACAGCCCCAGATGCTAGCTACCCTGAGGTTTAAAATGCAGGTTCTGGCCCTAGCCCTAACCCGCCCCCATGGACACCCACAGAACAGATGCACCTTGGTCCCACCACCCCTCACTACACTTCCGAGGGCCCCTGCCTGACAGGAGCCCCTGCCATGGGCACCCACTTAAAGTTCACTCCAAGGAAGGACTCTTCCCTCAGCTCTACAAGAACCAGCTGACACTGGGCATGCCTAACCACTACCACGGGATGTCTTCCACCTGCTGTGTCAGCCCTGAACCCTCACTCGCGCAGACCCGACTAGGACTCGGGCCAAAGCAGTAGCAGGAACCTCCGTGATTGCCGGCTGTGGAGACAGCGCAGATCTCCTGGGCCAACTTTCAGAAGAAGGCTGCAGGCACTGCGGCCAATGGCAAGTGAAGGCCATCCGTTACTTGGCAAAATTTTGTCTCCCTGCAACTCAGAAGCAGGGAATTGGCAAACCTGAGCTGTCAGAGGCAGCAATTTTTGCCAATAACTGCTTGCACCAACGGAGGTGCCTTGGCAAGTGTAGGATGGCAAAGGAGGGGCGACACGGGAAAGATGAGACAGGGAGACCGTGAAAAGTAAGTGTGTTACACCCGTAGTTATCAGAGCGGTAGGGTACACAGCAGGATATGCAGAGCCGTAAGGAAGCAGCTCGGCGTACGTTACTGCCAGATGTATGTCATTAATACGCAAAATAGTTGGATAGATTTTTTATTATTGTAAATGTGAAATGCCAGATGAGACAGTTGATAAGTGAGGAATGAGCGTATTTGATACTGACAGCCTAGATCACACCTTGAAGAGACTGTCGGTAGAATTATGGGCATTAAGGGCAATTCCAGTGAGGGCTCAGAAAGAATTGAGAGTTGTGGAGAAAGCTGTTATGAACAGCTAGAAATGTGGACACTAAATGCTTCTGGTGAGGCTTTAATATTGGACACTGAAGGAAACGTGATCCTTTTTATGCAGTGGTGAAGAATTTGCCTAAATTATGATGTTTGAATGTTTTGTGGAAGGTAGATTCTAAGTGATGAACTTGGATATTTGGATGAGGAGATTCTGAAGCAGAAATCCTGTCAGCTTAGAATGAAAGTGACAGAGACAGGACCAAGTGAAGGGAGCTGTGTCTCCTGGAATTCTACAGGCAGGAAATGGACCAGTAGACCTACTTGTTGTGAACAGCTGTTGACCTCCAAGAAAAGGACCATTCCAGGAACAGTTCAGAGACCACCAAAACTGTCAGCGCACAGAGGGCAGGGCTGCTGCATCCTTAGTTTCAAAGGGTGGGGCTACTGCCTGTCTCAAACAGTGGGTCTGCCATTCTGGTGTACCAAGAGAATGGGGCTGCTGCCCAGAATTGAGGGACAGGGCTGCCACAGTGGTGGGCCGAGAGAACAGACCTGCCCAGAGCCCCAGTGGGGTTGGGGTGTTACCACTCTGGTGGACTATGAGAATGGAGCCACTCAAAGTCAGGGGCAGGGTGAGGGGGTGTCATTGGTCCCAGTGGGCCTGGATGGAGAAGATGATGCAACGAGGCTTATTCTCAGAATCCAGAGGGTGGGGCCACTGCCCAGTGTGTCTGGAAAACAAAAGATTATTTTCAAGCCTTGAGAGCTAATGAGATTTTCCCTGTTGGGTTTTGGACTTGGTCGGTACCTGTGGCCCCTCCTTTCTCTTCAAGTTCTCCCATTTGGAATGGGAATGTCGACTTTATGCCTGGTTCACCATTGTACTTTGGAATTAGATAAGCTGTATTCTAGGTTTCACAGGCCCACAGGAGTAAAGGAGTTTTGCCCCAGGATGAACCATACTGAGTCTCATCCATACTTGATTTAGGTAATTCAGAAGATGAGATTTTGGAGCTAATGCTGGAATGGGTTTCGACTTTCGGGGATGATGTGATTGATAGGGCAGATGTTTTGCATATGGGAAGGACATGAATGGGGGGCAAAGGGTGGACCATGTGTTGTGGAATGAATTGTGTCCCCCTCAAAATATGTATGGAAGTCCTAGGACCTTGTAAGCTGTACACGTGATCCTGTTTGGAAACAGGTATTTTTGCTGTTGTTAATGTGATCGTATCAGAGAAGGATGGAACCTAATCACTTCTGAGTTCTAAAAACAGCAGACTAGATAGAGTGACACATGGCAGAGGCATCTACACACCCAGGAACTCCAAGGATTCCTGGCTGCTAGAAGCTGAGGACTTGCTCCTAGAACTCGCCCTGAATTCAGACTTCTAGGCTCCTGAACTGTGAGTAAATAAATTTCTGTTCTTTAAAGCTGCCCACTTTTGGTATTTTTTGTTATGTCATCACTAGGTAACTAAGACATTGAACTTTCTGAAAAACTTACTTACATAAGTGTAGGTATTTCAGCTCTCCTTTAATCTTAGGATATACAGACCATATAACTTAGAAAACAGAAAGCTACTTGTAGTTGGAAATTTCATTCAGATATTCAGCAGTTGCCCCTCCCACCTTTGTACCTTAACAGAAACGTGCAAATTATAGCATAAAAGGGAAGATCTTCATTCACACGAAGCCAGTTTAAGTATTAGATTTTAATAGTATTCAAATTGCCTACCGCTTAAGTCCTAGCTGTCCTAGCTACTGGAAAGTAAGAGCTTTTAGCCCAATCTACTTTTTGTTCTCTGACCTTCCCTTCCCTGTCAGCCTGTGTAAACAAGGAGCCCTTCTGTCACCTCACTCGCTGACTGATTGTAAAGCAAAGCTGGAAAACAGACTTCTCCTAAGATGGACTTTCTCAGAATTATTTTCAAGCAAGCACTAAACATGAATCAAAAGCAGAAAAGTACTGATATGACCATAAATATTTTTATTAAATCTGAAAATACACGGGCATAAAAATAGTACCCATATTTGTAGACATGTCTGAGACCCATTTCAAGTTTTAGGTTCCTTTTTTATTAAAGCACTAATGGAGATGGATTAAGTTACTTATTCTTGTCCCATTCAAAACAATCTATAGCTTTACCATATCTCCAATTTTTACCTCCTCCGATCTCTGCTTCCCACTGCAGGTAAGAGGTTCAACCACAGATAAGTGCAACAAACCTGTTACTATACACAGAGCCACGCAGTGGCTAATTGTACTCTTAAATCATTCAGCAAATGAGATCATCTGTAAAAAAAGAAAACCAAATTACCCTCATCTATGAACATCATTTAAAATTACAGAATAAACTCTGCCACTAACAAAAAAGGAATGATCTGAGTTAGAATAAAGATACTCGTTGTTGACAAATTAGCATTTGCCATCCTCCTTCCTTAAATAAATGGAAAAGTGAATGACATTCAACAAAGTTGCATGAATTTCTCTAGGTTACCACATTGACATGTACTCAGTGAAATCTTTTTGCAAGATCCACAGAGCCCTGTACTAGCAAGGCAGCCTGCTCTAACACAAACCTGACTGATGAGCCATTTTTAACTTAAGCATCTTTTGTACCTTTCTTCCTGGTAAATGTCAGCTATAACCTTTGACTAACTTCATGCCTTTAAAGAAAGTTTTCTTTTCCTGCCATGAATATAAAATGGTGCCAGTTGCAAACTGTGATTCTATTCCCTTTATCTACTTGGTTATTGGTAATATTGTTCTCTTTAAAAACTGGGGGTAGTTTTTAGGTTCTGTTATCAGAGTCTAGAAATTTCTGTTTTTCACACTGATATTTAAAATAGATTTTTAATACTAAAGAGAGATGTCTTTAAAATTACTATATTTAAAATTATATCACATCCAACTGACAATAGTAAACTACTGAAATTGTTTTCATTTATTTGTGGTAAGAAGGTACATAGTACTTTCGTGGTTTCATTCTTCACAGTAAGAACAGTTTTCAGAATTGGAGGGCGGATTAAATTTAGTTGTCTTTCTTAAGACGTTTTTTCACAACAGTTATAGGCTGGTGTGTTGAATACTTCCTGCCGTGGAACTACCCACGTGTGTGGACCAGTGATAACTCACTGATGGAGTTTACCATAACGGAACGGAGGAGTGAAGAATTGAACATACAATGAAGCAAAGGATAAGGTACCCCTCTGTGACATACTTTTCATGAAAGAGTCACAAAGGTTACTTGGCACCTGCAGGTCATTATTTTCTTCATTGATCAGGAGAAAACGGACTCCAGAGACTTCATTTCCCTCAGTGGAGTGGGCACTCGGCACCATAGCATCTCCTCTCTCTCCACTGAAATCAGCCATGTGACTCTGCACATTTCAGGTAAGATGACTGCATTAATAATCCATGGTAAGACTTTAGGAACAGGAGTCATGGTTGTTACAAAGTGAAGGAAAAAATAAACCACCCTCGGGGCAGTATGTGGGTAGGGAGCTCAATAACACATGCCCAAGGCACACGTCTGTCTCCAGTACAGTCCAGGCCTCAGCCATCCCAGCCACCTTCTGGGTCCTTAGTGTTGGCAGCTTGACATTCTCTCCTCCAAACGCAAGGGCAAGTGGGGTGATACATTCTTTTTGTTCTCTTTGTGAAGATTCTTTTAAAAGAAGATAGACACCATCCCTGTATTTCAAGGAGGTCACAGCAACATCATGTACCAAAGGACCAGATATTGCAATATAACTAGTGAAATGAGACTACTAAAAGAATAGACAAAAATGAATTTACCTTGGAAATTATTTCCACACTGGCTTGAATTTTGGGACATTAACACAAAATGAAAGCTGCAGGTTGTTCCCTCGTTTTCAATAATGCAGTGTTAGTTTTCGCTCAACTAGGTGACTTCTTTCCCTCAGTTAAAAAATTTTTTTCCACACGTTTCAGGATGACTGTGGCAAGATTTGTGCTTGGCTGTTGTGGACATCAGTGGTCAGGATGCCACCACAACTAATTCAAATGCTGCAGAATGTTCTGAGGCAAATACAGAAAGCTTTGCAGGATAATGGTAATGATTCTTATCTGAAGTCAGTAATGCTCTTGGATTTTAAATACAGCATCAGTAACTTCCATAAAGACCCAATGTTCTTGATTAGGGCAAAAAATTACCCAGTATACTGACTCAACAGTTAATTTTTTGAAAGGTAAGAAAAGTATCCCAAGATGCCATCTTATTAAATGAAATGACAGTGGAAATATAGCCAGAGCTGACTAGGTCTGCAAGCTTGTTGTATTTTTTTCTAGGCAGAGGAGAACATAATAGGGGCATCAAAGTCTGCTAGAGGAGCGTGTCTGCTGTTTAACAGCCACCAGCAAACCAGTCCCGTTAGTGTGGGAGTCACTACAGGTTAAGAGTGTCGGACCTGCAGGTAGGAGAAGCTGCCTCCCGGAAGCAGGACACATGGCATTCTCTGTTGATTTCTGAGGACTGTGGGAAATCCTGTAGTAAGAGATTCTGTAAAAGAACTCAGAACTTCTGTTATTTAGGAAGTAGTACTTCAGTCTGCACTTCAGCAATATTATTTTGAATAATACCACTGCTACATTATCTGAAACTATTTTACGTATTATCTTTCAGTTAATTTTTTGTGTTTAATACAAAGATCCCATAGGTTTTTACAACTAGATACTATCGCACTGGTTCTCAGTACTCTCCTGCAGGTACTGACAAAAAAAAAACCCAGAAAATATATCAACTCCCATTGGGTAACAGGACTCCCCCTCTTTTTCAGTGACAGCCAAGTTAATCCTAGTAAAGAAGCATGTGAACGCAAGCTGGTAGGGGAGGCTCAGAACTCAACAGAACTTGCAAATGACTGGACTGCCCTCAACAGAGCTGTCCCTAAGAACGTACAGCTCAAGCCAGTCTCCTGAATACTGAAACACGACCCACTCTCGTGAAGACCGCAGCTCCTCTCACACGCGTAGGCACTGATACGGTGTGCAAGGCCGTGAAGACAAGGATAGTCTCTCCACGCCCCAGTGCAGAAACACATAAAACAAGCACTTCCACAGGTGAGCCTGCCTCAGACCACTCGTCCCAGACACCCGTGAAATGTACATGGGCCGCCTTGTCCGAGACGGAACGTTCCTTGCCTCCCTACCCACACAAACCCAGCAGCTGTAAGTCTAAAATGGATAAGAGCAGATTTTTAACTCTTTGGTTACGGACAACAGAAAGATTTGAAATTTTTTTCATTAGGATCCCGGAACAAGGTTTCTTTGTTTTTAATCCTTAAAAAAGAAAAAATAAGGAAGAAGAGCAGAAAAATAGTTGGTTTAATTGAAGTGGAATTTAAACCTAAATGGTCCGCCGGAGCTGAAGGGGTTAAACCCTTGCCATGAGTTCCAGCTTCTGTGGAAGGGGTTGCCGCCACCTCCCTGTTGGCTCTCTGCATCCAAGGGATCTTCTCCATCGTCAAACTTTTTCCTCATTTCTATAAAAGAAATCAACAAGACAAGACCCAGGGATTGATTAAAGTCTATGTAGGAGGTTTTTTTTTTTTTTGGGGCGGTGGTTAGGATTGAGAAAGTACTTGCTTTTTAGTTATCAAAATGGTGTGCCTGGTATTTGAATTGAGTCTCCCCTGTTCCCACCCAGGAGATCAGAGGTTTGGTCTCAGGAAAAACAGAACTGGAGAGACACCAGTCACAGAGAGGTTCAGGGTTGAAAATGAGTACTGACTGAAATTTAGGTCCCCTAAATCTTCTCACCTCACAAAATGCTACCCAAGCTTGACAACTACCCAAGCAAAATCTTCTCTGGAAAAAGTAAATTCTAGAGACCTCCAGTAGTCACGTTCTATCCAGTGGAAGAACCATCTCGTGACCCTAGCTCTCCAGGACCTCACTCTGAAATCTCAGCAGATCTGAAGGGAGCTAGGCCCCTGTGCCATACAACTCCAGGATGCACATCCTTCACACGCAGTATGACTGGCAGCCCTGAGGAAAAGTCCTCCTCAAGGAGAGAGACCCTGATGCAGACACACAGGAGGAGGGAACCAGGCAAGGATAGGAAGAAAAGAAAAGACACTTCATCCCTAAAATGAGAATAGGAACGATGAAAAAGGAACAGAGAACAAAAAAGAACTCACAGTAATTAAAAACGACAACTGAAAAAACGAAGATAAAGTTAAGGAAATCTCTCAGAGAAGTAGAACCAAAAGACAGCCAGAAAATATTGAGGAGAAAGAAGCAATCAATCCTGAAGTCTACCTCTAACCAGTGAAGAGTTCCAGAAAGAGACAACTGAAAAAAACAGAAAAATTGCCAAGTAAATATTAAAGCTTATCAGCACGAAAGCACTCAAGCCTACAGAATGAATGAATGAAAAAAAAGACACAATCAAGGGCACATCACTGTGAAATTTCCAAATACCAGTGATAAAATGATACTCCTAAAATCTGAAGTACAGGTGTTATGGATTGACTAGTGTCCCCCCAAAATGTGTATCAGCTTGGCTAGGCCATGACTCTCAGCATTGTGTGGTTGTCCACCATTTTGTGATCTAATGTGATTATCCTATGTGTTGTAAATCCTAACCTCTGTGATGTTGGGCAGTTATGTCAATGAGGCGCAGGACTCAATCTACAGGATTAGGTTGTATCTTGAGTCAATCTCTTTTGAGATATAAAAGAATCAAGAGGAGAGGGACATCCTACCACCAAGAAAGAACAGCCAGGAGCAGAGCGCATCCCTTGTACCCGGGGTCTCTCTGCTGAGATGCTCCTAGACGGGGAAAATTGATGACAAGGACCTTCCCCCTAGATTGACAGAGGGAGAAAGCCTTCCCCTGGAGCTGCCGCCCTGAATTCGGTCTTCTAGCCTCCTAGACTGTGAGAGAATGAATTTCTGTGTGTTAGAGCCATCCACTTGTGGTGTTTCTGTTACAGCAAGCAGCACTAGATAAGTAAGATAGCAGGTTACACACAAAGGAAAAAGAATGGCACAAGACTTCAACAGCAAGCCTGGATGCTAGGGGAGGGGGGAAGAAAAAACAACTGTTTCAAACTTCGGACAATTATATCCTATATATTAATACTATACCCAAAGTATTCATCACCATGAATGGAAAGGGGCAAAAGGAAATTTTTCAGCTATACAAAACTAAAATTATTTTACTTTCCATACAGTCTTCCTTACGCAGGCACTTAAAGACACACTCCAGTCATATCAGGGACTTATCAGGCAAGGGGATGACACAAGATCCAGGCAGCAGTCCAAGCCACAGAACAGTGAACAGGCAAATAGGGATGTTGCCAAAATTCAAAGCATCGTTTCACTGAATGTATAATGTACAAGTTCAACCAAGTTTCCAAGAGTAGTACACAAGACACATCAAAAATCCTCAAAAAGATGACACACCAAAATAAAATGACCCAAGCCATGGTATTTTCAGTCGCCTCATATGCATGTAAAAGCTGGATAATAAATAAGGAAGACGGAAGAATTGATGTCTTGGAAGAAGTACAACCAGAATGCTCTTTAGAGCATTCTCTTTGTCTCACATACTTTGGACATGTTATCAGGAGGGACCAGTCCCTGGAGACGGAAATCATGCTTGGTAAAGTAGAGGATCAACGAAAAAGAGGAAGACCCTCAACTAGATGGATTGACACAGTGGCTGCAACAATGGGCTCCAATATGGCAACAATTGTGAGGATGGTGCAGGATCAGGCAGTGTTTCGTTCTGTTGTACAGGGGGTCACTAAGAGTTGGAACCAATTCGACGGCACCTAACAACAACAATGCTGATAAAGGTAGCTGTCTATTTTTCTCTTACCTATATACAATAAAACTCTTTGCCATCGAGTCAATTCCGACTCATAGCGACCCTATAGGACAGAGTAGAACTGCCCTACAGGGTTTCCAGGGAGCAGCTGATGGACTCAAACTGCCGTCCTTTCGGTTAGCAGCCGAACTCTTAACCACTGCGCCACCAGGGCTCCCCTATACATAACATACAGGGTACATTTTGGTAAGTTCACCTAATGTTAAACATCGGCTACTTCTAGGAGGATTTCAGTTGACTTTGCCTTCATCACTACACATTTCTCTACAACTAGAGTTTTAAAATATTTTTAAAATAAATGTTATAGTACTTTTTATTTTATCTTAAAATTACAATTAACCTACTTTAAGAAATTCCATGAGAAGAAAGGGGGAGGGCTCAGAAAAGAAAGAGCAGAACTGAACATAGTTAACTATCTCAGAAGGGACTGAGCACAGATTTACATACCTGTAAGGTATTCATTAAAAACATATTGCCCAGTGAATAAAAATTCTAATAGCTAAGTAACATAAATTGATAACAGCTTATTAGAAAGATAACTCCCTTGTGTATAATGTATAGTATAGCACTGAGCTTTACACTTTCACTATAGAAGATTCTGACATAAGTATTTATGAATTGTGTTAAAATTATATTTGCATTTGGTTAGCTTTTTGCTAATATCTAAAAGAAAGCCTCAACAGCAGCTGTGATATATCACAAATGAGACATAAAAGATGCATTCATGTTTTTTTGATTTAGTGTTCACTTACGATAAAAGATTACAACAAAAAATTAAGACTTAAGAATCCAAACATCTGACCATAAAATTTCCCGGGAAACAGTCTAATAAAGAAGCCAAGTACTTACTACACACACACACATATATATATATATGAAATAAAGTAGATAGGGGGCACAGTTATGGATACTTCTGAGACATAACAAACACAGTAGTACTGCTTTCTGGGTTGGAAGGATTAGTACGATAGTCTCATGAAACATCTCGATCAACTGGCATAATATAGTTCATCAAGTAACATTCTACATCCTAGTTTGGTGAATAATATCTGGGGTCTTCAAAGCTCAAGAGCAGCCATCTAAGATACAACTATTGGTCTCTGTTTGTCTGAACCAAAGGAGAAAGAAGGAAACCAAGGCTTGAAGAAACTGGTTTACAGAACTACCACTACCAACCATTCTAATCAGGGCCACAGTTAGACGGACCCTGATAGAACAGGAGAAAAATGGGGAACAGAACCTCAAATTCCTAAAAAAAAAGAAACAAACCCAGACCTACTGGATTGGTTGAAACTGGAGGACGTCCTAAGATATTCTTCAAACCTTGAACGGAAACTAACCCCTGAAGTTACCTTGTAGCTAAATTACAGATGGGCCACCAAATAATGAGTATAACCCGTAAGTACTATGCTCCTTTCAGAATCACTTATATGAGACCAAGTGGTCACCAGTTACTGTAAAACAAAGACAAGAAGTATAAGGGGGCAGGGAAACTAGATGAATGGAAACGGCACTCTAACTCCAGACATCCAAAGTAATTCATGATCTCCACCCAATTTGCCCCTCTTGCTGGTTCCCCATCTCAGCAAATGTTACCATCACCCAACTCGGCTCACAACCATCTAGAGGTTTGAAGTTTGCTACTCCTAAACTGTGCTCATCGTTAACAACAACCGCCTCCTCCCCCCCATCTCCTCAGCCACTAAGCTCTTCCGTTACAGACTCGCCCTCCTCGTGCTTACTGTACTACCTGCTTTCACACCATTTCTGCCTTGGTTCAGGCTGTCCTGACTTCAGTCTCCAGACTGCAACATCCTCTAAAAAATCTCACTGTCTCCCACTGCCTCGTCACAGCCCCACCTCAATTCACCTTCCGTACTGCTGTCGGACTAACATACCTAAATTGCAAATATGGCTTAAAAATTGTTCAAAGCTCCTTACGTCCCTCACAGTAAAATTCAGCTGCCTGAGTGTTGCATGTAAAACTCCTCCATGACCTCAGCCCACCCACTGCTTAGCCTCCTCTCCTGCTACTTTCATATGTGCACCCTTTGCCTTAGTCACTCCGACAGCTGCGACTCTGCCAACCCTGCGTCCTTTAAAGCTCAACTTAAGAGTCACCCTGTGGGGAAGATTGCCGGCTGCCGGTCGGACATAGCTGCCCCCCTCCACACTACACCGTGCACACAGCTTTTTCAGATCAGAGGACAGACCAGCCTGAGGGATGTTGTCAGCACTCAGTATTTGCTAAATGAAAGAACAGGCAGTACGTATCCTAGTGTAGTTGATCAGTGAAGTACATCTGTCTCATTATACTATAAATGACTTGAGAACAAAGGATCACTTAACTCACTTCCATAGCGTAAGTAGGTCCTCAAAACAGATCTGCCACATGGACATTAAACCTGATTTGCTTCTATTTTGTTGAATTTGTCTAGCTCAAATCATAGCTAGACAAATTTCTATAGACAATGGAAGGCCACAAAAAAGTAGCAGGTATCAACTTAACATCAAATTCCCTCTGGAAATTCCAAGCATTGCTCAATATTACCCAAATTCTCAGCCTATGTCCCTCTTATTTTCCAGGCCATATATTAGTGTATGATAAGAGAACAGAGATCACAGCCAGTAAATCCAGGGGTCATTTGATTTAGGGCAAGAGTCCTGTGAATACCCTTCACAGGGGAACAGCAGGCCCTGGCCGCTGGGCTAGGTATGTGCTCTTCCACCACTACTACATTACAGCCTCGTGTCCTGTTTGCTAATCAGACGCCTGTGAGTTTGGTAAAGAGAACTCATCACTGACCCATGAAGCTGGAAGGAACACAGGAGCTCCTGCAGTGCTGTCTTTCTCTTATCACAGGGGAAAAACTGAGGACCAAAAAGTACTAATAACTTGTTTAAGCAGAAATAACGTTCAAACTCAGGCCTTCTGATGCTGCATTTGATGGTCTTTCCCTGTCCAACGTGTACAGGGTCTCCAGAGTCTGGCAAGGGCTGGGGCAAGCAGGGGCCCACATAAAACTGGAACTCCAAGGCCACGTTTCAGTCACCAGCTCCTGCAGTGAACCCTCACCGTCCCCAGAGACAGAGCCAGCCCACCACGCCTTCTGTTTTCCACTTAGACTGACTCTAACCGGGTTAACGGAGTAAGAATAGATCGCCAGTCACCAATTCAGCTATTTCAAGAGGACAGAAGTGCATTAAGGGCAACAATACCTGGATCAGAGAGGACTTCTTTAGCAGCTGCTATGTCAATGAACTTTTTCTCAGCTTTTTTCTTTTCCTCTTCATTCTGGAAGTTATCTGGGTGCCACTGCATTGCTAATTTTCGGTACGCTTTGATGATTTCTTGTTTTTTGGCATTTCTGAGGGTGGTGAAATAATTAATAATCGTTAGCTTAAGTATCCAACACACTGCCATAAAATTTACAGGAGCCAGTTAAGAGACGACTCGCCCATCAACTAGCTGGTTTCCCGTCACCTCCCATGCAATCAGACACCAGATAGTCAGCATACAGTTGTAGATGAGCATCAAAACTGGCCCAACTTCCTAGATGCTTGTTCACTAAGATTGTAATCTAGGAATAAATTACTCCTCATCTTTTACCATTTGCTCTTTAGATGAAAAAAAAAAACAAACACATACAGACCAATTTTTAAACTTTCTGAATTTCCAACCTATCATGATAAAATTGTTGGCATTAAAAATCATTTTCTTTTTTGAAAACACTCTTTAACTCGACTTTATATTTTGCTTTTGGATTAGCTTACTTAATAAGAACAAAGTTTCAGACTTTTAATTGAAAGACTGATGGTGCACTTGGTCAGGGAAGATGAGTCTTACATAAAAGCGTATGCTGGGTAAATTATATACCTCCCCGTTTGGGAAAGTTAACTCTGAAAGTGTTTATTTTTAAGTCAAGAGAAGGTTTTCTTCTTTTCCCCATCCCCTCTCACCCTCCCACCCCTATGGGAAAAAAAGCTCACTCCTACCTCTTTTCTTAAAAATCTAGGCTTAGGACCTATTCATGCTACATGTCATCTCTGTCACCAACTACTCATTCCGTCCTTGCGCTACTGGTCTGTGTCAAAGAAATTTGGCTGTAACATATTCAGAATAGCTTCATGATGTTTAAAGATTGTTAGGGTTTAATCTATATGACAAAAAATTATACAGATAAAGGAAATGAAACAAGAAAAGAAGGGAGGGAAAAACAAACGATTGGCTTTAAAACAGGACTCATCAAAAACAGCAATGCAAAATTTTAGATTCAAGTCAACAATTTACCTTTTTACTCCCAAGATTTTGTAATAATCTCTTTTCTGCGACTGTTTCAGGAGTCTGTGCGCTTTCTCTAGACCTTCCCGAATCTGCTGGTCATTTTCATTGTGTTCCTGAGCGGTTTCGTAATCCTGAATAGCTGTCAGACAAGTTAGGACAATGCTGTTAAAGGGAACTGAGGCGGAATTCGGTGGCTTATTAGCCCCACTCAGCAAAACTCACTGTGGTGTGTTTGCTCGCTCACCTTCCCCCATGACCTTCCCCACACTTTCGAGGTATTTTAATATGAGCACTTTATTAAAGCAGTCTTACCACTATGAAGACTGACGTGATTATTACATAGGAAGTTAAGACAGTGGCAGATAAAATCTGCATGGTCAGCTGGGGTCCACAGGTCAGAAGAATGAGAGGTTTAGAAAGGGAGCAGGAGGAGCCAGCAGCCATCAGGATACCAGGTCACACACTGGTTTCCACACAAACATTACAAACTTGATCAAAAATGAAAAATGTGCTAATCAAAACAGAAAAACACATACAGTCTTGACTTGGAAAATCCGGTGACAACTCCATACATCTTTTTTTTCATTTTGGATTATTTTAAATACTTAGAAAATACAAGGCCTCCCTTCTGGGAACTTAAATTTCAGAAGTGTTCCCACCATTTCCTGGGATCACCGTGTGTAAACTGTACAACAATGTGGTTTATGTGACACCTTCTTTCCTTCTAGACTCATCTGTTTCCTTCTGGGAGTCTGCAGTTTCGGTACATGCTAGGCAGAGCACCTACACGACCAGCCCCTGAGCGCTGAGTCCTCAATGCCCAGGCACGTTGTACAGAGAGCTGTCCTTTCCCACAGTGACATGCGTTCCCATGAAAATTGGCATTTGATCCCAACAATCCGTTATTTGCATTGTCTGTCCAGGGAGTAAACGGAGAAAATATTTGCATCCAGGGTTCCCAAGACTACCACTTCCAGCTTGGTGATTCGCTAGGACTCACGCTGAAGATACAACAGGATACAAAGCAGAATTGGCAGAGGGAGAAAAGTGCGAAGGATGAAGTCCAGAGAAAAGCAGGCACAAGGTTACAAGAGTCCCCTCCCAACAGAGTCACACTTAATCCCTCCAACAATAAACTGTGACAACACACACGAAATACTGTCTACCTGGAAGCTCACTACTCTTGGCAATGGCTAATCCTGGAGACGGTTTGAAAAGTTATCTTGGGAAGATTAAAATAAGGGTATCTGAGCAGACTGACAAACGCAGTGCACCTGGACTACAAAGAAAAATGAAGCACACCACTCTGGACCCGTACAGCGACTCGTCATCCATCTCAGCAAGAGGAACTCCCCATAGGTTGAATGGACATGGGAAATCGGGTGTAAAGGAGGAGTGTGCCGTCACAGTATAGGGAGAGCGATTAGGGTCACATAACAATGTGGGTATAAATTTTTGTATGAGAGACTAATCTGAAATGTAAACTCTCACTTAAACTACAACAATAAACAAAAAAACATTAAAGGCAAAGTACAAATTACAGTTAATGAATATCAATTAAACAGAAATTATCTGAAAAAGCAGAATTGTAAAACATTTAAAAACATTTCAAATATTTTAAAATTTAAACATTTTTCAAAAATATTTCAGTATCCACTTAGCTGCTAATGTCAAGAATGAGTGTCACGCTGCATACATGTTATATGTAGAACTACATATGTACACGTGAGAGTAAAATCAATTGTTTGATACTGCAACATGTTCCTCAGGCTCCGTGTGTAAGTGTTGCAAACTCAGTACCAATTCATGACTTTATCTAGAACCATGATTTGGAGTGGGAAGAGGTACAATAAAGGAGAAAACTTGGCAGGATGGGGAAGTTGTACATTCGGACTATCTGAGAAGAAAGATTTGTCATGTTAATAATTAATTTGTCTTTTCTCTTACCCTAGCACTCTCTGCTCTGGAAAGCAGCAGCATCTCTGATGTTCACAGTAGTACAACCAACGAACATTCCCAATATTTGCCTGCCTTTTGTTTCAAGGACTTAGGACAAAAGATGTAGAGAAGTATTTCTGAATGGTATTTGTGATGAAATTGAATGTTTAGGGGTACTGTCGTGGATTGAATTGTGTCCCCCCAAAATATCTGTCAACTTGGCTGGGTCATGATTCCCAGTATTGTATGATTGTGTAATCTGATGTGATTTCCTTATGTGTTGTAAACTCTATCACTATGATGAGGTTATACTGATGAGGTTGACAAGACTGGATAGTGTCTTAATCCAGTCTCTTTTGAGATATAAAAGAGAGAAGCAAGCAGAGACACATGGGAACCTCATACCACCAAGAAAGCAGTGCCAGGAGCAGAGCGCGTTCTTCGGACCTGAAGTTCCTGTGCTGAGATGCTCCCAGACCAAGGGAAGACTGATGCATCACAAGGACCTTTCTCCAGAGCCGACAGAGACAGAGCCTTCTCCTGGAGCTGATGCCCTGACTTTGGACTTGTAGCCTACTGGACTGTGAGAGAATACACTTCTCTTTGTAAAGCCATCCGCTTGTGGTATTTCTATTAGAGCAGCCCTGGATGACTAAAACAGATATGGACTGTGCTGACCCACGGTGATGAAACACCCATGTGCTACTCAAAAAAAAAAAAAAAGGAGCTCCATACTTGGACACAAGTTCAGACCCCAAACAGACAACTCAGTGCCCCTATTTCACAGTTTGCTTCCAAAAGCTGCTGTAAGTGCATACGGTTAAAGAAGCACAAGAGGATCTAAACAGTGCTCTGTACAACAGTGATGGCTAAATGTTGGCTAAATCCACAACTGCAAAGTGGATGGACAGAAAATCCATCAACACTATAGGGGAGAAAAGCCCTTCAAGCTTTTATCCTAGCAGTCTACTTTCTGCCTCAATGCAATAATATTAAATATTAGTATTAAACACAAAATATTACCATGGCCCAACCCACAGGGACGTTGGAAAATACTTTTTCTAACTTAGTACACAAACAAAACCATCATCAATAGCAGTGAGGTTTAACTTTGCAATTAATACCCGTAGCATTTGATAATCACAGCCTACTGAATAAATGTACTTTGAAGGAATTTAATAAAAGGGGGTATACACATTTTCAAGTCCCTATGGAGATTCATGGAATTGGCTACATATATTAGGTCAAAATAGAAACAGTAATAAATTCAGAAAAAGGGGGAAGTAAATAAAAACACCACTCTCTCATCACAATGTTAGAATATGCAGATCTGTATGGCTACAGAACTAATCAGAAAAGGGAGGGAAAGGAATATGTAGTAAGTGCTCAACACTGCTAAATCGTTTATATTTCTCATTAATTCATTTTATAAAATTGAATCCTATTATGGATTGAATTGTATCCCCCAGAAATGTGTGCTGTAAATCCTAACCCCTGTACCTGTGGATATAATCCCATCTGGGAATAGGGTGTTAACGAGGTCATGTCAGTGCGGGGTGTGTTCAAATCACAACTTTGATACCCGCAGGTGATACAACCAGGACCACCAAACAACTCTGGGGGGCTCACCCCATTCCCATTACTGTCTGGGTGGAAGACACCCAAGTTACGCAGCAAAGCCCACGTGTCCAGATGTGTAGCTCTGGGAGTCACCTTGGGCAAATTGCTGTGTCTACAGAAGCCCAAGTTTCCTTACACAAAATGGAAATACAACCTGTATCATATGGTGAGTGTAAGGATGAAATGGAAGAATGTACAAAAAAAAAAGAAAAAAAAACCTATAATAATACCAGTAATTGAGTTATTTTCTCCTTATAAGCAATCACCATTACCCCTTGAGAAACTGGAAAAAGAGCAAACTAAGCCCAAAGCTACCAGAGGAAATAAATAATAAAGATTACAGACAAGACAAATGAAATAGAGAACAGAAAAATAGTAGAGAATCAACAAAACCAGAAGTTGATTCTTTGAAAAATCAACAAAATTGACAAAGGAAAAAAGAAAGAAGATGCAAAAATTGAAATTAGAAATTAAAATGGGGATGTTACTACTGACTACACCGAAGTAAAAAGAATTATAATACCATGAACAATTCCATGCCAGCTCATTAGATAATCCAGATAAAATGACCAAGTTCCTAGAAACACACGAACTACCTAAACTGACTGAAGATGAAACTGAAAATCTCAAGAGACCTATAAAAAGTGAAGAGGCTGAATCAGTAATCAAAACCTCCCAAAAAAGAAAAGTCATGAATCATATGGCTTCAGTGGTAAATTCTCCCAAGCATTTCCAGGAGAATTATAACCAATTCTCTTTATGGCGCCTTCACCCTGTGCGTGTCTGGTCTGTTCTCTTACTCAGAAACTAGGTTAAGGACTCACCCTACACTGGTATGATCTCATTAACATAACAAAAGAAAACCATGTTTCCAAACAGGATCACATCCATAGGTACAGGGGCTAGGACTTCAGTAATATTTTAGGGGGGCACAATTCAATCCACAACACTCAAAGCTTCCAAATTCTTAATTATATTCAGGATATCTCTGTAATATATGAGTAGTCAGCCTTAGTGAGGGCCTGGCATAGATTGAACTATGTCCCCCAAAAACTTGACTAGAGCCTCTGTCCGGAGGTGAGATGAGAAGGCAGAGAGGGTCAGGAGTTGGTTGAATGGACACGGGAAATCCGGGGTGGAAAGGAGGAGTGTGCTGTCACAGTATAGGGACAGCTATTAGTCACATAACTGTGTGTATAAATTTTTGCACGAGAGACTAACTTGAATTGTAAACTTTCACTTAAAGTACAATAAAAAAGATAACTTGGCTAGGCCAAGATTCCCAGTATTGTGTGGTTGTCCTCCATTTTATGACCTGATGTAACTGTAATACCTTCCCCTCAGGCTGCCAGATGTGTATGTGGTATGCATAGGCACTTGCCTGAAAATTCCATTATTCTGAGATTCTTTTGTGTTAAAAATGTGTATCTCTAGAAGCCTATCACAAATACAGTCACCTGCTGCAGAACGTCCAGGCAACGCCCGACCACATATATGTCTGTGGTTGCCAAGAGTTCAAAGATCTTGATCAGAGAACAGGATGTAGTGGACGTAGCAAACGCCAGCAGCTTCTCACACACAACCCGTGTCTCTCGTGTCTCCTGTATACAAAGTGACTGCACTGCCAGGCGTATAATGGTACAGTACATATATAACCTATAATACATAGGTCTCGATAGTTATTATAAATGCCTGTGTTACGGGCATACGTATGTACTGAACTGTACTTTCTCTTGTTATTTTAATGGGAACTTTCCCTACATAATATGGTGTTCGCACAACATCCAAATCACATAACGTCTGATTTCACAGAACGTATCCTGGATGTTAAGCGATGCATGACTATCTTAAATTTGATCACTCTTTTCCCAAAATAAAATGTAGTGAGGGCATAAAAGTGCTGATGCAAGAAGGGTAGTGTTAATTCTGAACACAGAATACATCTGTGGAATGGGGCAGGCCAAGGTAGTGTCACAAGGTAGAGTCTAGGATAAGCAAGAGGGCACAAGAGTGTGGGTGCAGGACATCACGTGAAGTCAAAGAAATTTTACCTATTTCACTGTTCTTCCCAGGCCAGCCCTTCATTTAGTGGAAGCAGTAATTAGCTTCTTGGTCTCAGAATTCTGGATAATACTAGTAATACTAAAAAAAACAGTGGGGTCAAATGGAATTAATGCAGCAGTCACAGGCTAGACCAAGAAGCGACCTATTATATACGACGTTGTTTGCATAGAAAAATCTATGCAAATTCCAAAAAATGAGTATAATGGAACCCATTCAGAGGCTTATTAGGAGCACTGTGTTCGGCATTTTTGGAACATCATCTTATTTAACTGTCGCAACAATCCTATGAAATACATCCCATTCTTATCTCTATTTTATGACAAAAATAAAACAGCAGGTTGATTGCGACCACACAGCAAAAATAAATGGCACAGCCAGATTCAAACCCAGGTCTAATTAGAAATTCCTTACTCTTTCCACTATGACCTTATTGTTAAATAACATAAATTAGCTACATTCAGTCATTCAGCAAATATATGAGTGCCTGCTATGTGCCAGGCACAAGTACCTGGGATACATGAGTTGAAAAAGATGCAGGTCCCTACCCTCGCATAGCTTACACTCTAGCAGATACAACTGCTCATCCCATAAGGACACCTCTATCAGCCCTATATTCAAAATAAAGTTTTTAGTATCCCTTCGATGTCAGTTTGTTCCTTCAAAAGCCATTATAAAAAAGTACCAGAGACCTGAAGACTGCCCCCCTTCATTTTGCATGATCTCAGAGGCATCCTTAAACAAGTCTTATTTCCTTACTTTCTATTGAGTGGAACCTTCTAATAGATTTCAAGCCAAAAATTAATAAATATCCATGTTCCATTATTCACTAAACCTACTGCATCTTTATTCATTATATACCTGCCATCATTTTAAACTGCTAATCAGAAAAAAAAGGTAAAATCATTAAACAGAAGAATATGGAAAGCATTCATAATTTTAACTCAGGATTTCAACTAGAGAAATAGTATTCGTTAAGTTCCAGATTTGTTATTCATTTGCATCAGTCACTAAACCTCAGATTCTATTCCAAACAAATCATGGCATCCCTGTCAGTTTTGAAATGCAGGATTTTCTTGTAAATTTAGAGACGTGGCAGCCCACTCTTTCTCAGTGGGGTTGCTTACTTTCCTTACTTGTGACTCAAACACACAACTGACTTTTGTAAAACTATAATTTAGAAGGATTCCCTGTGTACAAATCTAAACCCAAAGAAGACAACTAATATATTCCTATTTTAAAGAAATTCTTTAAACAAGCAAAATTCAAAGATCTATTACATTAAATTAGTATTAGGCATTAGGCATCTTTTTCTTGAAGAGTTAAGCTGTTTCCCTAAAAAGCAAGCAAGGGACAGAAACTGGACGAATGGACATAGGGAACCCAGGGTGGAAAGGGGGAGCATGCTGTCACACTGTGGGGGCTGCAACCAATGTCACAAAACAATATGTGTATAAAAGTTTTTGAATGAGAAATTAACCTGAGCTGTAAACTTTCACCTAAACCACAATAAAATGAAGCAAGTCAGTTTAACATTCAAGTTATAAAGGCATCTTTCAAAAACTAATATTCAGCAGCCTGTATGATTTAACCTTCTTTACAGGTAAGCTTCTTATATTCTTCTGCAGCTTCTCTAATGTCACAGTTGGAGTTAAATAAAGGTTTACATACAGGTGACAAAAGTACTTTTGACAAAGAGTTCCAGAAACCAACTAGGATGCAAAATCCTAAAGTCAAGTCACCGCACTAAGTAGACCCAGTAGCTAAAGGTGTCTTTTATGTAGAATACCCACCTCACTGGAGCATTCTTGCAAATATTAAACCTTATCATTTTGATTGCAGACATTTCAAGCCCCAATCAGACCTTACTGACTACACTACAAAAATGTCCCCTAAATGATAACCAGTCATCATCACTGCCCTGAAAGGGCTGAGGAATAAGATTCTTTTCAAATTGGAGGAAGTAGATAAAAATAAGTAACCAGTTTCCCTTAAAAAAAAAAAGTTTTCAGCATTCAAATATTTCATTTACCTGTAACAGAAAATTACTATTTTAATCTGATTTGAAAAGAAAACTTTGCAGTAAGGTTATAAGGCTCACTTCTTTTTGAAAAACTATCTCATTTAAATGTTCATAACATACTGTCAGATGAAAAAAATCACAAATCAATACATATGAAAGGATTCCATTTTTCAAAAAAATGTATATTACTGCATATGCCTCAGTGATCTTCCAGAAACGAGGATGCTGCCTTTACTCGAGGTCCTGACAACATCTCACAGGAAATGGTTTCAATTTGAACAAAGTAGATCAAGCGGCTATCCTGATGTCACTAATGGGTCGGGGGGTCACAGAGGATCATTTTATATTTAGGTATATATAGCATATATATGTATGCTGTGTGTGTATGTGTAATGTGTATACTTTGTATGTGCACAGGATATACGTATACATACATAAAATATAGAATAATATATATGCTACTGTTGGTTGCTGTCAAGTTGATTCCGACTCATGGCGACCCCACGTGTGCAAGCTAGAACTGCTCCGTAGGGTTTTCAAGGCTGTGACCTTTCAGAAGCAGATCACCAGGCCTATCTTCTGAGGCACCTCTGGGTGGGCTCGAACCGCCAACTCAGCTAGTAGCTGAGTATTTAACTGTATGCGCCACACAGGGACTCTACTATATTATGTACACAGACAAAAGTCTGGAAGGGTATAAATAAAAAATGAACAGTAATTACCTCTGGATTATATAAATATATGTAATTTTAAGTTTCTAATTTGTTATCTGTCTTCTCTAACTTGTCTACAATAGAGAAAGCAAACATTTCTACTTTCATATTCCACTGAACTCTTTCTCGTACGGTACACCACCTGCGTTCCACCAAGGAAAAACAAAGTTCAAGTTCAGTGCCATTTTCTAAATCGTCCACATTTCCAGGTACTCTGGTAAACCAGATCTAGACATAAGGAGTGAAACGTGTACATTTAATCTACATCAACTTTTAGGCACTGCAAGTCAAACTCCTTCAGTATTTACCTTCATCATACATTTCTTCTATTAAATAGGCCTCTGCTCGATCTCTCAGAGCATTCACGTTGTCAGGTTCTATCTGTAAAACTTCAGAACATATTCTAATAGCTTCAACAGGCTTCTCGTCCTAAGAGAAAACGTCAGAAAAGGATTGATGGTTGTTACTCCATATGTTTTTACGGCTCATTTTACAACTGTGAATAAGTCATCTGTCACCTTAGAAAAGCAGTGGCAGATCCTTTCTTTTGAACGAATTGAGTATTCAGAAACACTTGGCTCTGTTTTCATCACAGATTCATATTTGCTGGTCGCATCTGCGTATCTATGAAATGAACAAATCATAATGAGCAACAATGAAATTCTATTTCCAGAGCTACTGAAAAGACCCTCTCCTCTTCACTAAATACTGCTTACTCAAGTCACTGAATGAGCGTAAGCCTTCAAATGCTGTTTTACCTTATTATCTAGTGTAGCGCGGAAGGTGCTATCTGCAATTAAGAGTTAGCAGATAAAACACGTGACCACAGAAGCTGTCCAAGGACAGACTGAAGCATACTTGTGCATACCAAGCAAATCCAAGCTGAGCTCCTTCACAGAAAAACCTTCATGGATTTGAAACCGAGGAAAACCCCTTGTTAAAAAGTCTGACTTAGACCTAGCACTTTCAGCAAAACAGAGACCAAGTTTTATTTCTTGGTTACTTCTCACTTGCATTTCCTATGATTGCCAACATCCACAACTAAGTACAAGGTAGGTGCCTTGCGGAAAGAACCTGCTTAAGTCCCCAACTTTACAACCTTTCTAAGAACAACAGAAGCATTGGTGAAAAGTATTAAATTACTTTCCTCGGTAACGGCAAACTAAAAGCTTTATATGCCATACCCACCCCACTGCCGTGGAGTTGATTCCAACTCATAGCGACCCCATAGGGTTTCCAAGGCTGTAAATCTCTACCGAAGCAGACTGCCACATCTTTCTCCTGCGGAACCGCTGGTGGTTTCCAAATGCCGACCTTTTGGTTACTGTCGATCACTTTAACCACTGCACCACCAGGGCTCCTTCCCTGCCACAGTGGCATATTATTTCCGATGTGCTGCAATCTTCACATTTAAAATGCTGATGCATTAAAACACAGGTTTAAGTATAACATTTCAACTAAAAGCTAGCTCTGCTTCCAGGAAGGTGAAGTAGATGTATTTTCCCAATTCCTCCAGCTAAGTACAATTAAAATCTCTAGACTTTTATATCTCAAAAACTTAAGAAGACTCTGAGAGGTGGAAAGAAGAAGGCAGGCCGACTAGGGACCTCGAGACTCAGGGAACAACATGGTGGGGAGTTCCTGGGGCTTTCTTTTTGCTTTATGTATCTCAGACGTGGAGCTGAAAAGCAGGCAACCCGGCAACGCCAACAAGCTCAGGCCAAGCAAAGAAACAAAAAGCCTGCTGTCTCTAACAAAAGGACCAGGAAAAGGCAGCCTGGCACAGCAGGAAACTCTTGACAATAACCACTACTCAGCCAAACACCACAGAAATAACTGCAGCCCCACCCTTACCCACACCTGCAGAGACTGGGTGGGGAGAGACGTGCACCCTCTCAAGGCTATAAGGAGGTACCCCACCATCCCTACCAAGTAAATGTCAGAGAAGGTCAAGCAGGGAGCCTGGAGTTTCTTCCATACGGACCAAGCCAGCAAGAAGCTCTCCTCCCCTCCCACAGGGTCAGTGGAGACCATGTGAGTGGCCTGAACTCTCACCCACCAAGCAGTGTGAGGAGCTCCCACACTTGAGTGTCTGCCTGTCAGTAACAAGGTGGCACCCCTCCCTACCCCACTGGAACAATGGCAGAAGGAAAAAAACAGCTAAAACTGTTTTAAATAAGATTCAGAGTCTCATAAAAATCAAATGCCCAGAATTCTACCCAAAGCAATTTACAAATACAATGCAATCCCGATCCAAATACCAGCAACATTCTTCAAAGAGATGGAAAAACTAATCATTAAGTTTATATGGAAAGGGAAGAAGCCCCAAATAAGTAAAGCACTACTGAAGAAGAAGAATAAAGTTGGAGGACTCACACTACCTGACTTCAGAACTCACTATACAGCT